TTAGAAGTGTGTTGAAGAAATATCTCTCTGACTTCTGCTTCGGATCTCTCCCCTTTCCCAATTCCGACCAAATCAAGCTCGACTTGATTAGTCCAAGGGGGGACTTGGGGAGTTCCAACAGCCAGAACCTTTGTGAGATTTAAATTAAGATCTTCCACAAGATTCCTCATTCTCCTACCATAGGATCGGCTATCCTCAAGGGGGTTGAAAACCAATCTGAATGTAGGAGATCCCGGAATCCTTTGTAGTCTCGTGTAATAAATCAGGTTCATGTAGTCCCGGTGTAATGAAAGAGGTGGTTCTCCACTCTCAGCATACAGGGACTCCACAGGTGAAGACCTGAAAGCCCCTATACAGATTCTCAGAGCTTCATTATGAACCGAGTCCAACATCCGAAGAACAGTGGGAGTTGCAGATGAATATGCCTCACATCCATAGTCGAGTTTACTACGAATAAGTGCTCGGTAAAGTCGCAGAAGCGTTGTGCGGTCTGCACCCCAAGACAGGTGTGAAAGAACCCGCAAAATACTAAGCGCTTTTGTAGCTTTCACCTTTAACTGTTTAATATGAGGCACCCATGTAAGCTTTGAGTCAAAGTACTTTATCTGTTGGGCAAAATGTAGTGGGTTTGCTGCTAAATAGAGGGAAGGGTGAAAGTTTCCTCGTTTGTGGAAATGCATAGCCATGGTCTTGCTTGGAGAAAATTTGAAGCCATGGTATGTTGCCCATTGCACAACCTGATTTATTGCAGTCTGCATGTGTCCTTGCACATCCTGTAAGCTTCCTCCTGAGCAGTATAGTGTAAAGTCATCCACATACAGACTACATGAGACAGCACTTGGAACGACCTTTACGATGTCATTTATAGCAATGGCAAACAGGGTCACACTTAAGACACTTCCCTGTGGGACCCCTTCCAGCTGATCTTCCAGGTTAGAGAAGCTGTTTCCTACCCTCACTCTAAACTTCCTGTTAGCAATGAAGCTTTGTATGAAGGTTGGCAGTGCTCCTCTTAAACCAATGTCATACAGCTTCATGAGTATGCCATGCTTCCAAGTCGTATCATAAGCCTTTTCAAGATCAAAGAAGACTGCTAACATATGGCGTCGCTGTGTGAAGGAATTCTGTATAGCAGTTTCCATCCTCACAAGTGCATCTGTGGTCGATCTCGGTTTTCTAAACCCATATTGATATGGGGTCAACACGTTTTCTTTTTCTAGCAGCCATGTCAACCTGAAGTTTACCATTCTCTCCATCAACTTGCAGATACAGCTGGTGAGAGAAATTGGTCTATAATTCCCTGGTATGGAAGCATCCTTGCCAGGTTTCGGGAAAGGAATGATTATAGCTTCTTTCCATGTGGATGGCACTGTTCCCTCCCTGTAGATCCTATTGAATAGATCCAACAGGAACGTTTGGGAGCTCTTTGGTAAGTGAGATATCATTTGGTATGGAATACCGTCACTTCCTGGGGCAGTCTTACGGCAGAGCTGCAAAGCAGAGTCCATCTCCTTGCGCAAAAATGGCAAGTTGTATGGAAGTTCTGCTGCAGTGCTACTGAAGAACGACACTGGGTGTCGTTCCTGTTCAGCCCGAAGAGTGGAGAAACGGGCAGTGTAAGATGCTCCAGACGAGATCTCTGCCATGGATTTTGCCAGTTCATTTGCAACATCTGTTTTGTCTGTGAGGATTATGCCATCTATTTTCAGAGCAGGGGGTGATATGGATGTGCTCTTTCCAGCGATCTTACGCACCTTGTCCCATACCCATGCTAAGGGGGTCCCAGAGTTAATCAAGGAGACATACTGCCTCCATGATGTCCGTCTAGCCTCCTTTAGCACTCGCCTGGCCTTGGCTCGGGTCTTTTTGTACTGGATCAAGGTTACATCACTTGGGCGTCGTTTCAACTGCCTTAATGCAGCTTTTCTTGCTCTGACAGCTTGTTGGCATTCATCAGACCACCATGGTACCGAAGGTCGACGGTACTGCCCACTACTTCTGGGAACTGATGCTTCTGCTGCAAGGTGAATCCGCGATGTGAAGTGATTAACAGCATCTTGAACACACTGGAAATCATTCACAGATCCTTGCAATACTGCAGTTGATCTAAAAAGATTCCAGTCTGCATGTTCAAGTCGCCATCTCCGCACTCCAATGGCTGGAATGCCATTCACCTCTTCCAAAAGTATTGGAAAGTGGTCACTTCCGTGTAAGTCTTCCATGACCTGCCAAGTGAAATTCAACTGGGAATCAGGTGAGCCAACTGACAAGTCAATATTAGAGAATGTCCCAGTTTGAATATGGAAATGTGTGGGTGCATCACTGTTCAGTAAAACTGCATCTACTCATGAGAATAAAGACTCCAAGGCCTTTCCTCGAGGATTGCACAAAGTGTCTCCCCAGAGGTGATGGCGACCATTGAAGTCTCCCAAGAGTAGAAATGGATGAGGCAACTGTCCAAGTAAATCTTCCAAATCATCTATGTTGAGATTATGTGGAG